TAGTATTGTAGTACTCTAGTGCTGTAGTACTGTAGTATTATAGTACTCTAGTGCTGTAGTATTGCAGTACTGTTGTACTGTATTATTGTAGTACTGTAGTACTCTAGTACTGTAGTATTGTAGTACTCTAGTATTGTAGTACTCTAGTGCTGTAGTACTGTAGTATTATAGTACTCTAGTGCTGTAGTATTGCAGTACTGTTGTACTGTATTATTGTAGTACTGTAGTACTCTAGTACTGTAGTATTGTAGTACTCTAGTATTGTAGTACTCTAGTGCTGTAGTACTGTAGTAGCCACCAATAGGATGACAGAAAAGGAATAGGAGAGTGAGTTAGAGAAGGGGGGGGGGTCTGGGCTAGAAGCAGCTCCAAGTGTTACCTCTGGTTCAGTCCAGTCGTCACTCATGGTAGAACGTCCGTGGAGAACACACGTCTACTTCCATTTAGGTTTCACTCCTGTTTTCTGTATGGGATACATACAATATTGACAAACACCAGGCAACAGCACGCCACCTACTGGTGGGACTCCCCCCCCCCCCCACTCCCTCTCTCTGACTCCGTGGTAATGTTACTAAGTGTTAATCTGGATTAGTCAGTCTGTCAATCACCTTTGGTACTAATCCTGAGTCACATGGTACTGAAGACGTGTCAGTGGCCCACGTCGACCAAATGAACTGGTCCACATCTTGATCTCTCAGCAAATAAGGAAAACTCTAAGCTAGCTTAGCTAAACTAGCTTAGCTAAACTATAACTTTATTGATGCTGGAAAGTTATTGTTCAAAAGCAAAAATATCTATAACTTTATTATTGGACCAGACTGGAAACAAACAAACCAGTGAATCACAGCTAGCAGCTAACAGCTAACTGCTAACAGAGTTTAACATGTAGTACACAGAGAAAAACTGCATCTGTACACGCCAGAACTCCGAGAAAACTTCAGTGTTCACCAACGGTACCAGTGACTGTTTTTACCACAGCTACTGCTGCTGCCCCCTACCTGAGACACACGGGTGGTAGTTCGTGTGTAATTAAGACTGCAGTACACGCTGCAGTACACGCTGCAGTACACGCTGCAGTACACGCTGCAGTACGATCCTGCTAAGATCTAAGAGGAATTCAATTGTTGAGGGAAGTAACGAACCATGTGACACAGGACCAGTTGTACCAGCAGAGAACTCTTTTTCTTTTTCCAGCTTTTCAAAGTCTTAAATGTCTGGGTGTTGATGGGGGGAGTGAGGGGGGAGGGGCCCGGGGAGGGGATCGTTAATGAACCAATCAAGCTGCTGCTGGGATAAAACACTGGGGCACTTCCAGTGAAGGTGTCACACAGTTTAGAACCAGTGGCCGGTTGTTAAAGAAGTGACTGAACAACCAACGTCGACTGTCTACAGTCGACTGACAACAGCCTACCTGCTGCAATTAATACGGTTATGGTGTAGTTGAGGTGTAGTTATGTAGTTATGGTGTAGTTGAGGTGTAGTTATGGTGTAGTTATGTAGTTATGGTGTAGTTTGAGGTGTAG